GGTCGTTCTCTCTGGTCTCTCTCTTTGATATCTTTCTGGTCTCTCTCTGGTCTCTCTCTGGTCGTTCTCTCTGGTATCACTCTTTGATATCTTTCTGGTCTCTCTCTGGTCTCTCTGGTCTCTCTCTTTGATATCTCTCTGGTCTCTCTTTGGTCTCTTTCTTTGATATCTTTCTGGTCTCTCTCTGGTCTCTCTGGTCTCTCTCTTTGATATCTTTCTGGTCTCTCTCTGGTTGTTCTCTCTGGTCTCTCTCTGGTCTCTCTCTGGTCTCTCTCTGGTCTCTCTCTTTGATATCTTTCTGGTCTCTCTCTGGTATCACTCTCTGCTCTTTCCCTCTGGTTTTTCCCTCTGGTTGCGCTCTCTTGTCTCTGTCTTTGGTCTCGTTCTGGTCTCTCACTCAAGTCTCCTTGACATCTCTCTGGTCTATTTCTTGACTGATCTTTTCACGCTTAAACCTGGCTTCCAAAATGTGAGTTATGGATCCTTCATTGGAGGTTTCCATTTAGGCCTGAATTTGACTTTTCGTGCACAGCTTGAATCCACTAAGACTTGTTTTTAGGCTTTGCGTGTGAGAGACACTGAATAAGAAGCAGGCTGGTTATCCACAACAAACACATTGTTTTTGCAAATATGAATAAAACCAAGTAATGGCCGCCACATGCGCACCCTTCCCGTGAATAATTGCCATGAAACAACCAGAATTTCCTTGTGAATCACCCTGGATTGTGCGTATCCCTCCATTAGACACAGTTTATTCTTCATCGAGTCCAATAATAAGAAAGATAGCAACAGTAGACTCCTGACTACACTGGAGCCCCTACTACTGGAAGGTCCCTGGACACTGTACACCGGTCCACATTAGAGTTACGGCTCTTTGAAGGCAGCTGAATTATTGCTATCCATTTATATCAAAGAGATGTTCAAACGACTGGCTCATTTGATATGTATCTGTGTGAGACGTCGGCAGCATTCATAACTAAACAGATCATGTACAGAATGAGCATCGTGTGGTCTGACACAGGACTTTCCGAGCACCAGAACCTTACCTTTGCATTGCATGTTTTCGAATCTGAAATGCATCCTTGATTATTTCGGATCATTCACACCTCAGAACCTGGGCAGGGCTGTGTTAGTACTGTGATGGGAGACATTTGTTGCGGTTCAGGATTTTCCAGCGCAAATAATGTATGGCTCTCGACCAGCGCCGTCCACAGACATTTGATGAAATAGTGGCAATGTTATTTTAATCTATTTCGCTCAAGCCCAGTCCTCCCTCTGTAACAGAACAGATCTGCTTCAGTCTTGTTTTATTTCTAGTCCAGACATGCTTTAGTCCTGGTTTAGTCTCGGTCAAGTCCTGCTTCAGTTCCAGCTGGGACATCTGAGCTGGCCTTATATTCCGCATGCATAAATAGTCAATTTTTTTGGATTAATCTTGGTTCTATGCTTTTATTGGATTCGGTTCTCTGTGAATATTGGCAAACTTTGAACATGTCACAGCTCTCTTCTGTATCGTGCTGTTCAAGAGAAAGTCAGCTGTGCATAGACATACAGTAATTGCCTGGTCTCAGCGAGGAGAGGGGAAGAGATGAAGGATGCAGGCAGGTCCAAGTCTGCTTTTGAAGTCTATGATCCAGGTTTTTGGCTAATACACAAACATGCAAAATATAAAGCATGATCAGGATCGTTCCGACTCGTGCAAATTAGGTTGTTGAATCTTTTGTTACTTCTGACCGTAAGACATTTTTTATGTCATATTTCAACGCAAGAAAAATTTTCTTGAGCGATCGTTATGTGAACAGGACGAAAGCAGTTTTTGAAAATATCTTTTATTCAGGACAAGAAAAGGCTAAGAAGGAGGTACTTTGTATAACTTCAGACGCAGCCTGGATTTTTAGGCCAAACGTGTGAGTCCTTAATAATTCACCATAAGTGAAAAACATCCAAATGTACATGAGTTTAAGAGAGAACTTGAATTATTAACATGACTTCTTGATTTGAAGAGATTTAACTTGACAGGCAAAATTATTAGTATTATCCAATAGCACAGAACTAGTTTTAGATCATACACAGCTTGACAACAGAAAGAGAGAGTTTAAGCACATCAAATAGATTTTACAGTCATGTGTGAATACAGATGAGAAACAGTGACAAGCAGTGTCGTCAATGAACCGATACAATAGAATTGATTGCCATCTGCTGACCTTTGAAGAACTGCACACACACAGAGAATGAGAGCTATTTAACTGATTGACTTTTCAAAATGAACAAACAAGTTACAGATCTTTTAAACCTTTGGTGTTGTTGGTTTATGGAAGCTTATATTAGGTTCATTATCAACTGTGTGCATTGATGACCTTGGGTAAATGTCTTCTCTTTCACACAGCGCCCCTAGTGGTGGCCAATAGCATTGCCTTGTCGTGTACTTGTCAAATACTATAGTATAGATGTTGAACTATCTGCAATCCAGGTCACTCAAGTCACCCCAAAGCCAACAATTAAATGTTCCACCAACCCACTCACACGCACACATACGTAAAAGCACTCACACATACACGTAGCATACACGCACTCACACACACACGTAGCATACAAGCACTCACACATACACATACGCGTACGCATACAAGCACTCACACATACACATAGCATACAAGCACTCACACATACACATACACATACACGTACGCATATAAGCACTCACACATGTACGCATTCAAGCACTCACACATGTACGCATTCAAGCACTCACACATACACATACACGTGCACATATGAGCACTCACACATACACATACACGTGCGCATACAAGCACTCACACATACACATACGCATACAAGCACACACGCATATAAGTATGAAGATAGCGGAACATGTTCTGAGTATTAATACATACACACTAAGAGATATACACACACAAGCACACTCACAGACGCACACGCACAGACACACGCACAGACACAGTTCCCATCCTTGGTGACTGGAGCAGGTCCTCTGGTCTGCTGACAGGTCTTGGTCCCTCCCCTCGACTCGCCACAGACAGACTAATGGAAGCGTCTGGAGCGCGTACGATTAATCACACGACCTGATTAATCGTACGCGGCTTGGGAGGTGCTAATGAGCAGCTATTTTAGCAGATGACATCACCTCGTCACCTCGGCGGTGGGGCTGAGGCTGCAGGCGTCTGGTGTCATCGTGCTTTGTTTTCTTCACAGCTCACAGACTCGTGTCCAAACAATCTGAAGCACGCACCTCAAGCCAGGCCTGTTTTATCCGGAAAACACAAGACTGAAATAAACACTATTCAAAAGGCCTGACTATAGCGTACTGTTTGTTGATGTTGCTACAGTCAATTTTGTATTTTTATTGTGGGTTCATGTTCTAAAAATAAGCCGCGGTTACGACCCGGCTCAGCCCGGGCGTAAAGGAAGTAACAATGAAAACCAACGCGGCACAGAGGCAAGAAGGTCCTGGGTTCCAATCAACCTCCAGGCCTTTCTGTGTGGAGTTATCATGTTCTCCCTGTGCCCCCATCGGCCCGGGGTGGTATTGCAGCATGTCAGCGCACATGTCAACCCGCCCCCACTGGACAGAACACAGACACACAAACTACACGAGGCGAGCGGATTGGCAGGTAATGTGGGCGGGTCCTCCAGGTGAACGTGTGTGGTTGGAGGATTGCCTCTGCTCTGGTGGGAAACAACTGGGCAATAAGTAATAAGTAGTTATTTATACAGCGCATTTTACAGACCAAGGTCACCTGAAGCGCTTTACGATGTTCAGAAATCAGGCACGGTGATGACGAAAGCGATGCGCCGAACACACTGGCATTCACTCACTCACTACATTCATAACTATTGTACAAATGGGGGCGACAGTAGCTCAGTTGGTAGAGCACAGCAGCAGTGGGTTTGAATCTACCATGACCGATGGCATCTTCTCCCACTGATGTCTGCTGTCGTTGTGTCCCTGGTCAAGACTCTTAACCCCACATTGCCTGAATCCCCCCTGAAAGACAAAGGCCATGTTTTCGATCATGAAGAAGCTATCATCCTGTGGACCCACCCAGTGTTGCCAACTCCTCAGTAAGGAAAGTAGCTATTGGCTGTCCCAAAAGTCGCTAGAAGTCGCTAAATGACGTCATCGCCTAATTTGCATAATTGGCAATTTGCAAATAACTGTAACGAACGCTGTAGGAGAGAGGAATAACGTTGTGGGAGAGACAAAAGTGAGTAAAAAACACCCTAAATATGTTTAGAACTACAAATGTACAAAAATAATTTCAACATTAACAACATTTAATGATTTTAATGCTTTGTCTAGATCTGTCGCTAGTCGCTTTTTTGAAAAAAAGTCGCTAAATCTAGCGACAAAGTTGCTAAGTTGGCAACACTGGACCCACCACCCGCAGGACGATCAGCGACTGGCGCATTGAGACTTGGGTGGCAGCTCTGATTGCCACCCCCCTCCCCCCCCGACCCAGAAATGGAAAATGACTGGACATGACTATTGTACAAATATTTAGTGGTAGGGGAAACGGAGCACCTGAAGTAAACCTACGCAGACACGGGGAGAACATGCAAACTTCACAAAGGCTGAAATTGAGTCCGGCACATTGACACTGACGCTTGAGGCATTGATGTTGATGAATGTGCGTTGTCCCAACTTAATATATAAAAATACATAAATAAAAAAAATAAAAGGCCTGGAGGTGGAACCCAGGACCTTCTTGCTGTGAAACACAAGCTCTAACCACTGCGCCGCCCAATGAGATCTGAGGACTCGGGAGCGTGGTCTTCTGTAAACGAGGAAACACAAACGCAGAAACAAAACAAGAGGAAGGAACTACTGGAACCACAAAATATTCCACTTCTTCAGTAGATTCTCAAATCACACTTTAAGCTGGAACCGGACGCAAAAGCCGAATTCTATTAATGAATCACATGAAACTACTCAAACTCTTTTTTTTCCCCTCTTGCAATAAATCCGTAATTGGAAGATGGTGTCGGCGGTCAGCGGACACCGATGTGAGGTCACGGCGCCGCTGAGGCCTGTGAGGCCAATATGTGGAATAAGTTAATTAAATCCTGATTAAAATGCTAACGAGGCGTGTCCTTCCTGTGTCACGCCATTGAAGAAAGTCACAGAAGTCATTCATTTCTATTGAAATCGTTTTATTTTGTGCTGTTTTGGCTCGGTGGTCGACAGTCACTTTACATTTGAGTTCATAGTAACAACAGAGTACTAAATGTACAGAGGACGCTCCCATCAGAACCCCGAAATGTTTTGTCTTACTTTTTAATGTTTTTTTTTTTTTTTTTTTTTTTTTACAGTGCTTGCAATTACAGAGTGTAGTACAAGAAAAAAAACAAAAAAAACAACGAATCCAAACGGTTTACCGGGAAACTACAAAAGAAGGTCGCACCACACAGAGACAGGCTCAGGTCTCAGGGGGGGTCACCACACAGAGACAGGCTCAGGTCTCGGTGGGGGGGGTCACCACACAGAGACAGGCTCAGGTCTCAGGGGGGGTCACCACACAGAGACAGGCTCAGGTCTCAGGGGGGGTCACCACACAGAGACAGGCTCAGGTCTCGGTGGGGGGGGTCACCACACAGAGACAGGCTCAGGTCTCAGGGGGGGTCACCACACAGAGACAGGCTCAGGTCTCGGGGGGGGGTCACCACACAGAGACAGGCTCAGGTCTCAGGGGGGGTCACCACACAGAGACAGGCTCAGGTCTCAGGGGGGGTCACCACACAGAGACAGGCTCAGGTCTCGGTGGGGGGGGTCACCACACAGAGACAGGCTCAGGTCTCGGGGGGGGGGGGGGGTCACCACACAGAGACAGGCTCAGGCAACGGTCTTATCGGGCTCATGTTCCTCATCCAAAACAGAGCTGGAGTTCCATCCCAAGCACTGTCCAAACCATGAAACATTTATAGACACTGGTCATCTGCCCCTTATGGACCAATGGCTCTATGTTCAATGCCCGAGATAACTTCTGTTGTGATTTTGGGCAATACAAAAAAATCATTGAATTGAAAAAAACCAGGGGTGTCAAACTTCTGGTCTGGTGTGGCGGCAGGATTTCATTCCAACCAAGAAGGAGCACATTAGGCTCCACCTCCATTTCCCGGGATAATTGTTCAGTTATGTTTAGATGGAACCAAATCCCGTTCCAAAACCAAAACCTTTTTTTTTTTGTCTGTTTAACTATTACTAGTTACTAGGGACCAGCGTTTTGCGGCTCTGAAAACACACATTTTTGAAACCAGATTCTGGAGTAGAAAGATCTGTATACATCGCTCTGTGATGACTGTCTCTTCGCAGAGATTCTGAGACAGTTGAATCAACGCCACCCTTAGAACACGTCTTTGAGAAAACGTTTGTTGTGATTTAGGGCTGTACAAAAATAAATTGAATTGAGTGACAATGGTGCCAAACAGAATTTGTGTTTTTCCAGATTTTCTAATGCTATCACAGCAACATCTCCAGAAGTTTGTTTACACATTTCTGCACACGTGAGCGTGCCCACTCCATCCTTTCACGGAAGTCTGGCCTTGATCCCAGTGTGTCACAGCGCCACCAACAGGCCTGGCACTGTATCACATCCTTTTCAGGCGCCTTGACTTCATTCATGTCGACGCAAACATTTAATAAGTGGACTCCAGTTCATAGAAAACGTTTCTGAAACTGTAAACTACACATTTATTTAGGGCGATACAAAAATACATGTAACTAACTTGAATTGAATAATAATTGGAATATTTTGACTTTGTGTGGATGTAAGCTAAATGTTTACAAATGTGGTATACACAATATGAAGGTATATTTTTCATGCAAGTTATTTCACAGACTACATAATTATTATGACTCCCTGCCATTTCTGTTTTTTAAAAGTAGCTCTTTGATGGAAAAGGAGACTCCGGCCAAAGACAAAGACGTCATGGCCCGAGTTTTCAAAGTTTTATAACAAAAGTTCCAGATTTCTGAAACACTACAACTCCAGGTCTGTTTGTGATGAAGGAACACATGACCCACGCAGCCAACCAGAGTCTGCGTCTGTTCACTTTCAGCTCTGCAGACGTGGAATAGTTTCTCTGAATGAGGACGGCGTGTTGTCTTCGCCCTCCAGTGCAGCACTCGCGACGTTCACAACAAAAATGTCATTCTAAATTGTTTAAAATGACTTGAATTCAGGATGTTGGACTTCATTTCAGTTGTTTTTGATGAGTTCAGTCCTATGCACTTAACAAACAAGATCATTTTACTTGAGATCTCTGTTGTCCAGCAGGCAAAAAGAGTCTGACCTCTGAGTCCGACCGCTGAGTCTGACCTCTGAGTCCGACCTCTGAGTCCGACCTCTGAGTCTGACCTCTGAGTCCGACCTCTGAGTCTGACCTCTGAGTCTGACCTCTGAGTCCGACCTTTGTGTCTGACCCCTCGCACGTTGCTGCTCCCATCCGGACAGAACAACATAACGAGTTCCGGCCCATAATAATACAAAAATAAACTCAATTCTCCCAATCAGAGTTTGTCATTGTCATAAGAACAGAATCTGACCTGGTTGACTGAATTCAATCGAAAAACTAATCAGTGAAATATTCGAAGTCATTTAAGATAATATTGATATTCCAGCCACAAATCCCTCATGTGGAATAGTAACCTGAATTCAAGTCGTTTCGAGCCTGAGAAGATGACATTTTTGCCGTGGAGGTGGGGGGTGGGACGTGACGGCCAGGACTGTGGAACGCTAGAGTCTTGTACAAAAGTGAACAGAGGTACTCCGGGTATATTCAACATAAATATCAAAAGTTTGATTCACAAACAGTACAAAGTGATTATTCTCCTTCAACGCTCGTCTGCGCGCCAACCACGTGTTTCAATGTCCCCTGGAGAAGGATGGTGGGAGGGTTCTCATGACCCCTGGGGAAGGATGTCCAAACACAAACAGGAAAAGCAAATGCAGGTGAATGCGTGACTGAGGCGAAGACGTGAGGGGGTTGCCAGTCCGGCTATGTGAGTGTTCTGTCACGTGTGTTGCTCTGAGGCCACTGAGGCTTCTGAGGCCTGTGGCAGTCCTGCTATGTCACATGACGGCTTCTTATTTGTCTACTTCAATTTGATTAAAGCTGTCAACGATGCATTAAAACTAGATCCTGGCTATAACATTTTGGTTGTAACGGTTTTCACATGCATATATGTTTGGTCTTCAGATCCAGATTAAGGGCTGGTTTCTTCTTCCTGCTTGATAAACATATTCTGAGTGACATTTCGTTGACTCTCTATGCTTTGAATGGGAATACTATGGTTAATTTATTGTGATATCAACACAGAGAATATCAGATCTCCGAACTGTGGCACGCTCCATGGCAATAAGCAGGAAAGGTGTTTTGGGCGATGGCAGTGATTCTGTTAGCACCGTGCTCTCAGCAGATTATGGGATGTCTACATGGTTTTACCTGAGTCCTATCTGACCTATTATGCTGTGCAAAATTCATTTCAAATAATCATAAAGGATTCAAATGCTAAAACGAGCTCATCCCTTGAAAGAATTGCTATATATAATATTAAATGCTAAAGCCAGGGATGAGTTTCTGAGTCTAAATAAGTCCATTGCAGATGTCATGAAGGTCTACTGTGGGAGTTATAAGAAAGATTTCATGGTAGAATGGCTGATAGTGGGAGAGATTATTTTCAATGTTCATAACACACCGTTTATTATGCAAAATGTTTGGTTATTAAAAGTCGTGTTTTGAATGTAAGCGGCCCACACCAATGTAACATACGCCGACTCAGTGCAATCAGCAGCTCTCCCACGCTCTGACTCAGAGCTGCCATGGCATTTAGTGAGACAGCGCTTCATTTGTCTTCCATGTCTACCTGAGCCGGAGCCCACAGTCGCCCGCCACAACGACAGGCTTTGATAGAACGTATGAGAAAATAACAAATCTGAGGCACTCTTGATAGTAAATACACATCCTTTACTGAACAGGGACTGGCCTACACATTGCGGTCAGGGAGGGCCTTCTTCAGGTACCAGGCATCTGAAGAAAAAAGCACAGTAGGAGGCAGAGCGTTTAGCACCAATTTCGTGAACTGTGGAATCAGCCCCCCATCCACGTCAAGGAAGCAGCCACAGTCTCTACATTCAAGGCCAGGCTTAAACAGTTCCTATTGTAATCAGCGTGTAACTTGGTAGGTAAGACTTAGATATACAACCTTGAGTCAAAAAAACACACTTTGCTAGAGAATTGTCATTGTTATGATTTCAGCTGTAGTCTGTTCATTGCCATTCATCCAGTGTCCTATGGTCTGTTTCATGGTGTGAAGATAGGGCCCCTGAATACGGCCTCTTTCATCTGCACCCGTGGACTGTCTCCCCGCCCTAGACTCCTGGGTTGTACCCCCTTTTCTCAATGTGAGCCTCCCCCGAGGTTTCTCACCTTTTTTTTTTTTTTTCAGATTGGGTCCTTGCCTGAGGGTGTAAGGCCAGTGATAACATTTCTGAACAGTGGTCATCCCACTCCAAATGGACCCATGGCTCCTATGTGTTTGTTATTATTTGAAGTCCTGTGGTCAAACTGTATCTTAACCTGGCAAAAGCCAGATTGATGATTGTGTAGAACTCTAACGCGTTCTCCGCGATATCAATCTGGGATTTTTCCTGGAGAATCCTTTCGGGGAAAGGAGGGGTAAGCAGCAGAATACTTGAAGCTGATTGGGCGAAGTGACGCTGTGTGCCCGCCTACCAAGGTTGCCGTCCAGAAATGTACAAAGCGCCTCTCGCTGTTCATCTTTCAAAAAAGAAATTGGAGATTCTGCTAAAACTGACTTTGCGTCCGTCCCATGTTTGTTTTGCTTCGGCCCGGCACTTCTTGCTTTCGTCAAACCCGGATATCCCGCCCTAAACCCCCAGACTGGCGCGTGATTGGCTCGCACACCCAGTGGTTCGACTCGAAAAGTGTAAGCGGGAGCGGTACAAGATGTATTCTCGAGTGTTTGTGAACTCACAAATACCGCGAGAATTCAGCTTGCAGGCAAGGTTAACTGTATCTCTGAAGACCGCTATTGTGGTTAAGGGCTATACACAAATACATTTCATTGGACTGAATTAAAGAAGGTCATACGTGGCTGAAATGCGTAGGCTAGTCCCTGTTCATCAATGGATTTTTATTTACTGTCAAGAAGGCCTCAAATGTTTTCTTTTCTCACGTGTTTCCAGTGTTTTTTCACTGCTGATCCTGACGAGCGCCTGATGAAAATGGACCCACTCATCTTTTTAAAACTTTTGAAAGAAGGTGCGTCGGAGTGCTTGATTTTCTGTGGACGATTTCAAAAGACCTCAGGGTTGTATTTAAGTACCGTTGTATTTAGTGGAGTAATTCTGCATTTTGCCATGGCTTCTGGGCCTGATGAAGACTGTGATTGGATTTATTTGTGTAATTATTGATTTGTTGACATTAACTATACTGTGGTGAAAAAGGAAAAGTCTCCATCAAAAGAAACCTAACATCGGACAAAAGTAAAATGTGCAGATTATGTAGTAATGGGAGGATGGCTGTTTGGGAAACACAAATTCCCGCCAACAGGGGGTAGTGTATTTGCCTGTGTGTGTGTGTATGTGTTATTGAGCTGTGGTCTGTAGATGGAATGAGAGGATGCGTGTGGGCGGGGTATGTGGTCTCCGAGTGCACTTTCTTGTTTGGCCTGACATGTTTTTTTAATTCTTATTTTAACACTAGAACTCACAGAGCAGTCGATTTGACAGCTTTTAGTTTTGGAAGTGTAAAACTTATAATATAATCGTAATTACATAACAAATGTACAATTTTAGTCTTCCAAAGTTTGTGACTTTCTTTCTCTCTATGTGTAGTTTGTTTCTATGTCAGTATTTTTATGAATTACTTGTAAAATCTACCTCTCACAGTAGAGCCAGTACGAGTTACCATGGCAACATACTGTTTACTTGCTACCAGTTAGCATTTGGTAGCCTTTCAACAAACTGTTTTTTGCGATATTTCAAGTTACATTCACCAGCTTTAGCACCATATAAATAATTTACTTTAAATACGTCTATCAAAAAACTAAACATTTTTGAGGCAATTTCTCAGAATTCCATTGGTTTCGAATGACAGCAGTCAAAAATGAGGGCTCTGGGAGTTGTAGTAGTTTCATAATTGTGGGAGTCCTAGTCTTAAACAAGATGTTGTTGTGTTAATCTGTCTTCAAACCCGCGTTAACAGAGAGAAAAAGACAAAACCAAAGAACAACTCGGGTCTTTTCAGTCATGTTTTACCAAATGCATGAAGTGAATGGATCTGAATGTGGGGGGACTCTGAAAGATGAATGCTTTCACTAATGGCACAATGAGAAATAGAAAAAAAAAACTTGCTGGCGACACGGTGGCACACGCCTTCCGGCCCACATATTGCAGCGTCCACTGAGTATATACTGGTCAGATATAGATATGATACACACTGCTCAAAGTGCAGGCAGTTGGCACAAGGTTAGGTTGTGAAACAGAAGAAAGATCATAGTATAGTAGCACGTGTAAACAAAGACACTCCCACGCACCCCGCATGGCCCTGTACACAAATAGAATATATAGAAAATACATATACACGCATATTTTACAGTAAGACCCCAACCCTCTGGCTTGGAGATGCAGGAGATCGGGGACAGAAATGGGGAAGCGTCTCCGGAGGAGCTGTGAGGCTGCTTTGCTACGCTGCTGCGGCTCAAGATCGGAAATGAGTCGATAAATCAAAAAAGATGAAGTTATTAAAGTCTTCAATCGTTTTTTTGGAGGATATTTTAGGACTTGGATAGAGACAGTGGCGGTACCTGAATGTCCACACTATTCCCTACTCCCTCGTTCACTACCATAGACTGTGTATCTGGACAATGCTAACCCGCTAGCTCAACGAAGCACAATAGAGAAGTGCTCATAGTGAAAATGTGTACTAACTTGCTCTTTCCCAGGGGACACTCAAGCTCAGTCTTAGCAACATGTCTGCTCCTGTTATGTGGCAAAGCTAATGCCATTGGATTAAATGAAATTAACTAGCTAGCTAATGTTCAAATGGTCTCCTTCTGCATTCAGGCTAACACTACGATGCTGTCACACTCTGTAAGGCCACACCTTACACGGTCTATGTTCACTACATCGTCCCTCACTCGCAAAAACATCATTCTCTCTTCAAGTGTTTATGGCTTAAAACTACGGACTACGATTGATTTCACAATAAAAGACCCGAGCTAAGGTGAGAGGCTAATGTTAGCATCTTTACGGTCGTGTGTTCATTATTCTGTGTAAACAGTGCAAACAGAGTTCATGTCGGCTTTCATTCATTCTTCGTGTTGTGTTCCGGCAGACCGCGAAACCGAGAGGATTTTGCCGCTTCTCAGTGGTTTCGAGGATTATTGCATTATTAACCAGTTTACTGTACGCCCCCTGCTG